TATTAGCCCCTTTCTACAGGTGATGTACTGTTTTCTGGTCTGTTCCCTATTAATAAGTCCGTTTCTTTTCTACTCACAAATTAATTTCAGCAGTCCTCAAAACAGGTCACAGCTCTCAGTTCTGAAACACTGGTAATTGACCTTGTTCCTTTCTGGTACTTGGACTGAATATGTCTTTTTTGAAGTGGGGGTGGTGAGTCTGGAATCTTAAAAAGGATTGAATAATTTTGTGGTATATTTAAACTGGATTGCCATAAAACCCAGAGAACTTAGTTCACATCTCTGAAGCTTAAGACAACTGCCATACTGGGTAAACATTAACCCCTACCTTTTGATTTTTTATTCCGACAACACGGTCGTCAAAAATTTTTTCGTAATTATTTTTTGTTGGGGTTTGTGTTCACAGACTGAGGAGGCACTTTTATTCTGAGCAAAGTATCTGCAAATCATCGAGGAGGAAGGAGAGATGAATTTTTATATTTCTGTGGGTGAATGCCAGACCCTGAATTTGGACTGTTACATTAAGTTTGCATGGCACTTGCCCTTTGGTTTGCGGATATTTTGGTCCCATTTTGGCCTTGGTTGATAATGCTATTCATTATGTTCCTCCTAAGCAGATTCTTAATTTCTGCAGTTACAGGGAGCTGATTTTTACCAGAGGATAATGAGGCTGTTCTCAAATTCAGCCTTCCTTCCCCTTTGGAATGGCATGAAATTGCAAAATACATTAACTTGTAAAGCTGACTTACCTGTTTGTCATAGTAAAGGTGTTTGTAATTTATACAGTAGGTAAAAGACTACCAATTACAAGGAAATCTAAATTTCTCTAGGAGCCCAGAAATAACTCTCATCAGATGGGATTATCTGAACTCCTAGGAATACTGATTGGTTTATTTTAGGTCTGCAAATCAAAATAAGACCACTGGCTTTCAAATTTTAGTAGTTCCATTAGCAAACCTCCTTACCTCCACTGCATATTGGAAAACCAGTATGTTGAAAGGGGACTCTTGGCCTGGCCTGGATTTTCTTCTTGTGCCTAATAAAACTCGGCAATGCTTCAAGTGAAAAGGGCCTTTACTTGGGTTCTCAGTTCTTCAAGGAGGTAGAATCCAAAGGAACAAGATTGGGAGAAGGTGGATATAGCCCTGGGCAGAGGGCAGGGCCACTCACTTTAGCATGTTTCATTTAAACTCTAAATCTCTGCCACTTTGGACTTGATCACGTGAAGCAAATCATTATTTGTCTTCCATTATCAATTTTTAGCCTTATATTGGGTTACCTTATTGCCTCCCTCTTGAGTGTGATAGGATAGCATCCCTGAGCATTTTAAACTCCTTTCTCCAGGTACATTAAAACTCTGGTCTTTGCTTTAAAATTGTTTTTTAGTTTCAAAATAATGTAACAAATTAAAATGCAGTTTTAGACCATCTTTTTAAGGCACATGGTCTATTGCTTAGCATTAATATAAATCCTCTGCTCTCTAACAGGTTCTGGAAAAAAGCAGCCTCCAAGTCCCAAATGAGTTGTCCCATCAATTTTAAAGTAACTTGCTTGAACTCAGTGCAGAAGAACAGATAATTTGAGTTATACATAAATGGGAAATAAAAAGGATTATCAGGCAAATCACTCTTTATCAGGTCCAGTGGTCACCATTTCCCCGAACCAAAGCTCAGCTTCCCTACTTTGGCCCCCCTGATGCATTTAGGGGTCCTGAGGTCAGCAGGAGAACCTAAGAATGGATGGGGGATGGAGAGAAAGAGGGTTTACTTGGCTACTCTACCATTGTGTATGGGTAGGTGATGTGGTTTCACTGCCTTCTAAGTTCAAGCTAGCTGTATGGACACTGCCCCAGATCTTTAGGAAGAGGAAGGAGTTCTGGAGGGGTTATGAGGCAAGAGCCAGCGGAGAAGTGCCATTGTTGTAAGAACAAATCCCACTGTCACTGGTGGCAAAGTTTAGGTTTCCCTGGGAATAAATTCTATCAAGACCTTGATTCCTCTTGGACATTCTTGGTTTAAGAGGTTGAAATCCTGCTGAGCTCTGTAAATTCTTGGGCTTGATCTGTAGTAGTCCCAAATTGTCTAAGTCCATAGCTGTGTGGATCAGATGGACAGTGTTTTTACAGTTAGGCTGCTTCCTGGGCCTGGCTGGACATTCCTTCACTACCCAGACCCTGTGCACCTCATATTTTGGCCATTCTATTAACACATTGCCTCTCATCAACCAAATCAAAAACTTTCCTTTGGTAAACTGCCACTCTGCCTCTAAAGACCTGATCTAAAGGAGTCTATAAACTTGCCCCGAACTTCCTTGCTCCTACTGACGGCTATCTCAGAAATATCCTATTTCAAGGTTTTTAAACTTTATTACCAGCAGGAAAATAATTTACATCATGACCAGATAGACTTCTACATGTGTATCTACACGTCTACTGCACTGTAAAATTTATCACAAAACAACTACTGCAGTGGTGTACTGTGATTTTCTAATCCATTTCAGCATTCTAATCACCCACAAAATCAAACCCTGCAGTTTTAAAACCAACATAAGAGTACATCTTATCGCTAGTCTTCAGATGTTTTGAACCCCTAATCTGCATTTCTAGTCTGCACACATTGGTGATACGAGGCAAAGTGGACAAGTTTATTCAGAGGTAACAGGACTCCTCCTTTGACCCTTGCCATTCCATGGGTCTTGATCCTAGTTTGTTCTTCTGATGTTTTGGTTTCTCCTATTTTTTTTTTGTTAGGTTACTGAAAAATAGTTAAACTGCCCTCAGTTCCCAATTTCCAAAAGGCTGTTTTCTGACCAACTTGGTTGCTTTATATGCCGCTAATGCTCCAGCGCTTTTTAAAACTTGGTTCTGGTCTTCACTGGATTGATTTATAGCCCAAATCTTACATCTCATACCATTTTGTTTAAAATGTTGAATTGAATTTTAGGTTATAATTTTTCCTATATAAAATGTCAACATCAGGGAAACGTTAAGACCTAGAAGAGTGATCTTAAAAATAAGTTGTAGCATGTGACCAAGACACTACTCGTTTTACTCAATGCCTTTTAGGAATGCAGTACTTGAGTTGTATTACAAGTTTAGAGACAATCGTAAGGAAGAACAGACTGCAAGTTGAAATGGAGAGCCAGGACCAAAAGCAAAAATTGCTAGGTTATTTACTTCAGCATGGGGAAACATCTTTTACTATTAGAGGCTAATATTTCACTAGTGTGTGAATAAACATCTAAAAATGAGAGAACGGAGGGGCACCTGAGTGGCTCAGTTGGATAAGCGTCTGACTGGCTCAGGGCATAATCTCATAGCTCATGAGTTTGAGTCCCACACTGGGCTCTGTGCTGACAGCTCAGAAGCTGGAGCCTACTTCAAATTCTGTGTCTCCGTCTTTCTCTGCCCCTTCTCTGCTCATGCTCTCTTTCAAAAATAAACATTAAAAAAAAAAAATTTTAAAAAAATGGATACCAATCCTATAGGCCTAATTTTCTGAAAGTCTGAAGCAATTGAAACCACTGAAGTACACTGAAATCCATTACAAATTCAGATGACATCAGTCCAGATGGGACTCTGTCCCACCAACTCTAGCTGCCAAGCACTATGCTGAAGATTCAGCTGGGGCCTGGCAAGGAGAGAAGTACCACATTTATAAGGATTGTGATGAGTGAGCATTTGGCCATGCAGAGAGCGAGGCATTTGTAGGTGAGATGGGAAGGAGTTAACAGAAGCTTCCAGGAAGCCAGGTCTCCCTTGAAGTTGTAAACCAAGATCAAAGGCTAATCTGCTTTAATTGTCCTTTTGTTCATTTGCCTTGGTTTATCAAGAGTCTAATGGGACAATGCACATGAATGCTTAAGTAGCTAATCTGTGTCATTCCCCTGCCTTCGTTTTCCCTCGATTAGATGTCTTAAACTGAACATTCTAGGAGAACACATGAAACCATGCTTAGGTTTCTGAGAATGCAGGAGTAGGTCCAGGCTAGAGAGGATGCAGAATGGAGCTGGGAACAGACCTATATACACACAATATTGTAGCCCATCAGTGCCAACTCTGGCAGGGTAAGGATGAGGCTGTTCATCAGTGGGGAACTCATGGGGTCCCTCAGTAAATCTGGGACCAGGTATGAGCAAAGCAGCCTGTGGAAGCAGCCCTGGTGAAGATAAGGATGCTCTTGCAAACCAGGGTCCTGGCTGCTTCTGATACTGTTTCAAAGTCCCAGTGGTGAGACATGCTAAAAGTAGAGGTTTTTGACCAGCAATAATCACCAGCAATACAATCACATCAAGAAAACCTTCATTTCAGTCCTTTTTCATCACAAGTCCTCACTTTCGATGACTTTGAGTAGAGCCCAACTAAAGGTGCCAGCACACAGGGAAGAAAAGGGAGATGAAGCACTCTTGTGCAAGTCCTATGGCTGGGGGAAAACAAAAGCCATGTAAGAGTAATTGAAATACGTGCAAATACATTACTGGAGTTTATTTACAGCCTTCATCTCCCCATTTGTGCAGCCCTTTGCCATTGTTTAATCGTTTCGAAGATGCACGATTTTGCATCTCTTTGTATTCCTGATATTGGGATACTGACCCAGTATCAATGGTAATACGTACGCAAACCACCTTCAGACACGTCCTCTAAGACTGAGGAAGCACCAACATCACAGCATCAGCCAACGGAGGCCAAGTCCACACCTGGGGAGGGCGAACCACACTGGAGAACAGTGTCAAGTTGGCTGACAAACACTGCAGGGACACAGAGCTTGCGCTGAAACCAGGAACTGTGTCCTCACAATGTGTCCGAAGAAACGAAAATGGTAGTGATGCTTTCGTTTAAGTGGTAGTAAACCTTGAATGGGTGGTATAGTAAGTATCAAATTAGGAATTTAAATCAGGCCATCCATGTTGTATTGATTGTTATTCAAAGTTCACCATCCGTACTCTCTTTACAATATGGTCAGTTCAGCTATGCTAGGTCACAGCTGCGGATTTGCCCACTTTCATTTGCCTTCACCGATGTCACTGTCGCTGTCACTGTCACTGGTCAGTGAAGTTAGGTCTCCCAGGGCTTCTCTGTGAGGAAAATAAACTGGAAAGTTACAACTGCAATTCAGTCTTGGGGGAGAGGGACTCTGCAGCTGCATTCAACTATAAGGACAAGGGAAAAGGTTCCAAGAGCCACATCTATAGGCCTCTGACTCCTATGACAAATAAAATAGCAGCTAAATTTAACACACACTGACTTTGCAAAGAAGAAAATTCAGGAGGCAGAAAGCTATAAGCAGTGAACGGGTAGATGGACAAACAGTCTGGTCTGTATCACTTTCCTTTATGGTATTGGTGCAGGACTTACTTTTGTTCCTGGCTGATTGCAAAGTCAGCCATCACTCTCTGGGCGAGGCCTTCACAGACAGGCAAGCTGAAGGCACTGGCCAGCTTCACTATCTCAATGGCCTGGGCAGGGTTGTTGGATGCTTTTGCACTGTCCATAAACTCATCCAGCAACTCATTTCTGTAAAAGAAAGGCAAAATGTCAACACTCCCCAACGAAACCCCTCGAAGATTTATGTGCAAAATCTACCATTTTATAAAGTTGAGTCATGAAATCCTCAACAGTAGTTCTGGAGGTAAAGTTACATGAAGTCTAACTTTAAAGAGCCAAAGGGATCATGAACATTGGTCCAGTATGCCATCATTGAGGATCTATTCGGTGTCTTGCCAGTGTGTTACAATCACTGAGCACAGACTAAAAACAGTGCTTGTTTCAGGATGCCCTAGATGGTGGGAGCAATTGTGGATTTTCTTGTCTATCAGAATGCTGAGGCAGGTGAAAAAATTCCAATTACCCCATGGTAAGAGTTAAGACCCTGCAGTTAATTCTAGGATGTACCCAGGCAGGCCTGTTAACTTCAACTTACCCAGGGATCTTATTATGCTTCCTGAAAAGCCCCAACATTTTCCTATTCAAGAGGAGACAGGAGAAAGATTATAAATGCAAGTAGAACACATGGCGATCAGATGACCATAGCTCTTCTCCTCCCAGTGCTAGCCCCTGAAGATGTATGTCTGTGAGTTCTGCTCGCTCCCAGCCCTGTCTTCACATCAAAATCACCTTGGGTGCTTCAACTCCCTCCTCCAAACTTCACATATGTACATGTCAAGTTTCCCAGGCAAGTGTGATCTGCCAGTGTTCAGAATTGCTGGGGTCTATCCTCTTCTAGAGGATCACTCCAGTCCACCCAGGGAAGGAATACATCCCGTGGGCAGCTGGAAGAGAGGGATGCAAGAGAGAATGATCTCTTTCCTCTCTTAAAATCCAGAATGAGATCAGTGTCCTAGAATTATGTTGTGAAGAGCAGGCTCAGATTGAGGCATCAGTCTCCTGTAAGTGCTCACCAGCATCCTGCCACATGCAGGACAAAGGAGAAACACATACATTCAGCTCCCATGACTCAGCTGAGGTCCGTACCCCTGCGCCAATCATCATAGCCTGATTCGTAACGAGTGTCAACCTGAATTAACAAACTTGAGCGCCAAATGTTTCGGTCACTAGCAGTGTAGTAGGCCGCGTGTGTGATTCACACTCCCAAGACCAGTGTAGGCAGTAAAGCCTTCCTTCACCAGCTTTTCCTGAACATAGTGAACGGCCACATTTTGGGCTGGCAATCCTATGTTCAAATTAAGTTACTCTCCCGTGTTGAAAAAGCCATACACATGTACTCCACTTACTGTTAGAATACACATTTCTCTCCAACAAAATGCAGCAACACCACCTAACTATGACCACTCCTACAAAGTATTCTTTTGTTGACTTCTCTGCTTTTGGAAAAAGGAACGCATGTAAAGTTTCCATCCACAAATACTAAAAATGAGTATGTGAATGAAGTGCTGATGAACACACAGAAGTGACACAGACCAAAGATGGTTCTTGTTAAGGCCATGTTTATAAATGCCAGTTTCCTGAAGTCCAAATGCACAACCTGCATTTTAAGCAGGGAGGTAGGGCCACTACGCCCAAGTGAAACACTTGGATAAACCAAATGCCTAAAACGTTTTCAAAAATATTCTTTGATCACTCTATTTAAGTGAACAGACAAGTGACTTACTTGCCCGTGAATACAGAAAACAGGTCAGAAAGAGAAAATTAGCCCATTAAACCATGTCCTTTCTTAAATACACTGTATACACTTACACTGGTCTTCTTCCTAAAGTTCCCTTTTCAGTTGGTATTTGCAGTTCCCAGAGAAAACACAGTATGTAGAAAACTCATCTGTCTTCTGATTACACATCATACAGATGAGAAAAACTCTAGTGACCAGGGCAAATGTTCTCTGAGATCCAAGTACAAATGGCTTCTTATGCTTTTGGTATTGTACTCACCAGGCTTCCTGGGTCCTCCCTCCCCTTAAAAAGAGGACAGCTATATAGTTCAGAGGGTTGGCTGGCCAATCGGGAGCAGTCTGTCTGGCATCCTGGCTCTCATAAGTAGATCTGATATCGGCAGCACAGTCAGCAAACGCCACCTGAAGCTGAGAGGCTCTAAGAATCAGCAGAATTGCCTAACTGGTTTTATGAGAATCTAAGTTCAGGAGACTCCACTGAAGCGTTAACATTTTTGAGCAATCCATTTTACCACTGGACCACATCACATGTATGGTACACAAGTAACAAAGTGAAGAAAAAAGAACGCACCCTGCCCTGCTCTGGGGTAAATAATTTGCAAATTGGCCACATCTTTCAAAAAGAACATGTGTTTTCTTTTCAGAGAGAAACTTAAAAAAAAAAAAAAAAAAAAAAAAAAAAAAAAAAAAGCTATTGTCAGGGCAGAAAGAAACTATTTTCATGTTGTTTACTTTGGACCAGAGAAATGAGATGACTTTAGAAGAGATTCTGCTAATGGTTGGGTATGTTTAGATGTAGACTTTAAATCTGGGTTTAGGTGGCAGAACTCTCCAGGTTTCCCTAGATGAGACCAAGGAAATTACCTTTACAGGGTCCTCTGAGAATATACTGGTCAGTACACATCTGATTACTGTAAACTAACTTGAATTTGGACATACCCTACCTCTGGTGGGTGCCGATCCCTTGCCATGAGCATCAGAATCTCTTCTTTCAGGGCATTGCGAAAACTGTGACCATATTCTTTACTGTCTGGAAACAGAAAGGAACATAATGAGAAGTGATTACTGTCATATAATACCAAAACTCTTTGGCAGACCTTTGTCCACCGTTGTAGTTTTCGGTGGGTAAAAAAAAGTTGCTGACACTCTTTCCTCCAGGACACCACTAGGATAATTCATGGTAAGAACAGAAGGAGCAGTGGAAGCCAGTAACCTGCTCCCAAGTCAAGTGTGAACCACAGCATATGCACTACTCTTGAGCAGCTACCAACTCTGTGTGATATAAGACACTTTTTTTTACAGCACTTGGTGATCAGTGATATTTTATAACAGGTAACAACCACTTAAGCAATCCTGTGAAGTAGGGCAGGGCTCTACTTCATGGAAATAGACATGGAAACTTGAAGCTGACAGGAACTCATGCTGCAATCACAGTCCCCTAATAGAGGACACATAGCACCTTCTGCAGCCAATTTATACACAGAAACCCACAACCATGCCTACTTCTTAGAAATTCAAGTGGCTTCGTAACAACTGAGTCACAACGATGCAGCATGATACAGAGGAGTAACACAGAACCTAGGCTTTGTGGATTACGTTTGTGGACCTGAATTTAAATCTAGGGCGTGCCATGTAATCAGCAAACATCTTCCGTCATGTCACACAACAAATGCACAGCTCTACCATTCCTGTCACGAAGGAATGGATTTAAGTCACTTTCAGTACATTTTTACTTGTGCAGTGCAACATGAGCCAGTGGACCATGAAGCAGACTTCAACTTACATATATATTCAATTTAGTGACAAATGGAAGTTTCCGTCCCTAACAATATTAACACGTTTGTTAATCAAAATGTAGGACGATGAAATGAGATGGGCCTGGACATACAAGCTGAAACCAACCTTTCCAAATCTGAGGAATCACTTCTAGCCGGTTGGCCACATCCAGTGCTTGGAGAAGATCTATCAACGTTTGGGAATGGGGAAAGAATACCTGATTAAGAGAAATACAAATGTATTTTTAAAGTATTAACCAGCAAAGATACCCACAAGCACATCCACAGTGATAAGTAATGAATCATCTTACTGAAGGTATCAGGTCCTTATACCACTTCAAAGTGACATCAATTTGTTCCATTAGACAAAGCAAACTCAAGAACTTGGAACTGTAATGGTGAGAAAAGGTGTGTTTTAGTCTCAGAGCGTTAACAGCAGAAGATTAAATTACAGCATTGTTACGTGATGACATCTTACACAGAATTTAAAATCAACTTGTAAGTAACAAACAATTTCAAGTTACATGGGACAATACTTGAGCCAGGGGGTGCTAACTATGCTTTCTGGACTTCTGATCAACACCTTCTTCTGCACAACTAGCCATTCATGACTGCCTCCTCAGCGTGCTCAGCTCCCAGGGAGTGGTCTGCCACATTCACTTTCAAAGCACGCAGTGTGAAGCAAGGAGATGGACACACAGAAGACAATCACCACACAACTATTAACAGGCTGCCTCCTTCAGGTCTTGTTTTTATCTACCTGAAGTCAAACTCCTTTAAGGAGTCTCTTTGGGCTTCATCTCTGTATCTTCGTCTTTAAACAAGAGGCTGCGCTGAAATGTTTAGGGACCTACCCTGCCAGATATTCAAAAACATAAAACAGGCCATGGAGGAAAAAGACACGTGGGTTTGAAGCGTTACAAAGAAAAATATCCTAAAAGATCCACACCAGACATCTCAGTCTGGCAAATCAGTTTTACCACTGCTTCAATTTCCAAGTGCTCAATTAACATGTACCATTAAGTTAGGGGCATGCTGCCTGCAGACATGACATAGGAGGGCTACCAAGAGTCTCCTACTTGCAGAAATGACTGATGGTTGCTTTTTAAAGAGGCTCCAATAATGCAAAGGGATACATTTCTAACACACTTACTAATAGAAATTACGCCGGTGATCTGGTCCAATGAATTTCCAGTTGTCTCCGGTGTTTAAAAGGCCATGTACTTGGTAAGCAAGTTCTAGATCTCTGAGAACTGAGCACTGAAAATTTGCAAGCAGTAAGCATCACTCTGAGATTTATCAACCAAATAGTGGCTCATTACATTAAAAAGTGTAGTTACTTATGGAAATATTTATGCTGATTCAATTTATTACTGGTTGACAGCAAATGAGTTGTAAGACTGAAGGGAAAAAATGAAAGCAAACTCCCCAATTCCATGAAAGTTAAAAATTTTTTTAGGGGCGCCTGGGTGGCGCAGTCAGTTAAGTGTCCGACTTCAGCCAGGTCACGATCTCGCGGTCTGTGAGTTCGAGCCCCGCGTCAGGTTCTGGGCTGATGGCTCAGAGCCTGGAGCCTGGTTCCGATTCTGTGTCTCCCTCTCTCTCTGCCTCTTCCCCGTTCATGCTCTGTCTCTCTCTGTCCCAAAAATAAATAAACGGTGAAAAAAAAAAAAAAATTAAAAAAAAAAATTTTTTTTAATGTTCATATGTTATATTATATAGCATATACACGTATACATACAATATTATTATGCAAAAAGGGAAGAGGCAGAGAGAGGGAGAATAAGAATCCCAAGCAGGCTCTGAGCTATCAGTGCAGAGCCCAACACGGGGCTCATTCTCACAAACTGTGAGATCATGACCTAAGTCAAAACCAGGAGTCAGATGCTTAACTGAAGGAGCTACCCAGGCGCCTCACAAAATGATTTTGTCTAGTGATTACACCTTCAGGAATCAATCCTATGAAAACACTTGATCATGTGCATAAAAACAGATGGAGTGCTCACTCCAGCATCACTGTATTTGCAAAAAACCCATGAAGTAACTCCAAAACCCACTCATAGGAGAAGAGTTAAGTAAACTGTAGTCCCTCCCGCCTAGAAATACTATGTTGCTATCAGCAAACAAAATACCACGGAAATGTATCTGGCTGTGTATGTCTGAACACCTAACGAAAAAACCTGCAAGGATACACACTAAACTTTTAGAAAGCATTATCCTTAGGGAACAGGATGTGCTAATCCACGTCCACTGATGAGCATAAAATGAAAAACCAGAATTCAAAACAACCGTCATCAATTTAAAAGGCCATCAATAGGGGCGCCTGGGTGGCGCAGTCGGTTAAGCGTCCAACTTCAGCCAGGTCACGATCTCGCGGTCCGTGGGTTCGAGCCCCGCGTCAGGCTCTGGGCTGATGGCTCGGAGCCTGGAGCCTGTTTCCGATTCTGTGTCTCCCTCTCTCTCTGCCCCTCCCCCGTTCATGCTCTGTCTCTCTCTGTCCCAAAAATAAATAAACGTTGAAAAAAAAAAAAATTAAAAAAAAAAATAAAAATAAAAGGCCATCGATAGGAAAATATGAAATACCCTGAAACCTTATCTGAACAGAGATGTGAAAAAAAAAACAATGTATACAACAAAGGGTAGAGGTGCTATGTGAGTTAGTACAGAATTTAAGAAGAAAAAAAATCAGAATCTAAGACATAAACAGAAAACTCAGGAAGTGAAAATAATCAGGGAAAAGCCCCTCCCCCTCACCTTCCAACCCCAGTTACAGATGAATTTAAGAAGTGGATAAAGGAAAGCAAAAAATAAGAAGCGGTACTTACAACTCTCATGGCTGACTGAAAAAACATATCTGAAAATCAAAGTTCACAAAGTCTTGGTTACAGTGGATAAAATATATTTTTAAGTGAGCAGCATTAATAAAAACCCTAGTGACCCAACTGTCAATGTGTAAGTTAAACCTGAAGGAATAAAAACCATAGGGGGAAGTATACAGCAACGTGCCACACGTTTTGGCTTCCTCAGAATAACCACCCGTAAGGTAACTAAGCTAAGTTAAACCTGTCCTCTGGGACGCATGGGGGGCTCAGATGGTTAAGTGTCAGACTGGCTCAGTCATGATGCTGAGTCTGAGCCCAGCACTGGGCTCCTCACTGACAGTGTGAAGCCTACTTGGGAGTCTCTCTTTCTCTCTCTCTCTCTCTGCCTCCTCCCCAAAATAAATAAACACACTTTAAATTAAACCCTGTCCTCATCACAAGGCCTCTAAATCACTGACAAGAAAATAGGCTGTCTCACACAAGCAATTCTGTGCATACCGTCATCTGGGTCCTTCGGGGAAAATTTCTTTCCTTTTAATTCATTCATAATATCGTAGATTATGAGGGATGATCCTTTTGAAGGGTTTTCTGCAGAATACAAAAGCACACAGGTCTTATTAGGACTCTCCTTCTGTACCACTAGCAACCACACAGCACCTGGCACAAAGGGCCACACTTGCTCCTCTGCCCCAGCACATGGCACGGTGTACAGCTGGCAGGGGCACGTGCTTGCTAAAGGAAAGGTTCACAGTACAGGGTGCAACTCTCCGATCTGGGACAGTCACAGGTCTTTGTCTATGTGCTCCCAGCGGAGATTTTCCCTTCCTCCTCAGTCTTGTCTCAAACTTGACTTTCACTGAAACAGGAAACATACAACCTCACCAAGACTGCCTACTTAGAAAAACAAACATGTTTTTTTTTTGCCAGTAATCATTTGTGCTTTTAAGTATAATCAAGATGAAAAAGCCAAGAAAAAACAGTAGAAATAACGGACATAGGCAATCCTTTTACAATCACATGAACTGAGTGGTACTAATAGGTCAGAAAACGCATCTACACAATTCCCAAACATATCCCACTATTCATCCAAATCTGTTCCCTACCTTATCCACACACAAGTGAACATGTAGTTTTAATGGTGGTACAGGTGTATTTCTACAATTTCCTCAAGCATGTTTCCATTTGCTAGCATTCCTAATCATTTTATTGGTTACATAATAATTTTATATGTATCCTTTAATTTTTTAGGCTTTCTCCTTTGAACAAACATCGAAAAATTATTCCTGCAAGTAGCCAGTTTACGTACGTGTAAGACAAGCTGGCCCCCTTCCCCTGTGTCTGCCCCTCTGTTCCCAGGTGTTCCACCACAGACTCTGGTTAGCAACTGAACCCCAAGTGATGTGTGATGGTACAGACAAATCCGACAGGGTCTGGGGTCAGAAATACTAGTTTCACTACAGTGTCGCCAAGGTTGAGTAAAATTTTAGAAGATACGATTATTGTGGAAACTACCTATTTCCAAGATAAAGTCAATTACTCTTCCTCTCACCCTAAAAGATAAAAATCTTCCCCACAGGTGGTGTGGATCTTGTAAAATTAGCCCACCAAAACACAATCAAGTTTTCCTCTGTTGTTTTATAAAGTCCATCTCAGGAGAGAAAGATTGGAATGGTCATTTCTGAACCCAGGGGTTCTTTCTCAAGTTGGGGCGGGGCAAACGAGAACCCACAGCCTGTGATGGCCTATTATGTGCCTTCCAGTACAAGACCCTGTGCACAGTTTACTTAATCATCACAGCCTGACAGCATTTATCAGGATAGGTATCCAGGCCCTTCTGGCATAGCTGGGAGACGACAGGTAAAATTTCAACTCAGGTATGGAACAGCAATGGCCAACAACTCTCCGTAAAAACGGACATGTTCTCTTGCTGCATCATTGAATACAGGAGCCAGCAGTCACATGGGGCTACCTAGTACTAATGCAAGAAAGGAATCTTAATTTTAATGAAATAAACAAGTGTGGCTACTGGCTATTTTACTGGAAAGCACAGCTCTACAGAGGCAAAAAAAACTCCAGACTAACACACCTTCTGACCATTTTTAATTGCACATCAACACTGTTAGTACATTTAATGTACTAATAACATTTCCCCTCCAGCTCAAGTTTTATGTAACAAACAAGGTTACTCCCTTCAAGAATAACTTTTTGCTAAGGCTATAGGATACTATAATTTGTGAGTTCTCTATTCTTAAATCATATGCAGTGAAGGTAGCCCACAACAATTAATCACATAAACATAAAGGAGCTGGGTCAACTTTCTACAAAAGTTAATACATACCATGTATAACGTCATACATACCATGTTGATAAAACAGCTGAATAATATAGTGGTATGTTGCAAGTGAGGGTTCTCAAATTACCAGGTGGATAGAAAAAAGTAAGAAATAAGTCAAACACAAATATCCAAAATACAGCTTCCTGAGGCACAGTTAACTAAAAACACACTGATTTTGGTATTTAAATAAAAGGTGATGCATTTCAAACAAACAAAAAGATGCATTTCTATTCCTCTGAAGATATTTCCTAGCTCATTTGATTAACGTTAACGTTTGATTAGCGTCATTTGATTAAAGTGAGAAACACTTTTAGAAAGTCTTGACACATATTAACTAAAATGTTATAGCTAATGTACTTTGTACTAGGATTCTTTATTCAAGAGCACTAAAGCATACTAAAGTGAACAGGTCCCCAGCAACCTTTCATAATTACTGAAAACTAGGGTTGCCTACGTGGCTCAGTCAGTTAAGAGTCTTGACTCTTGATTCCAGCTCAGGTCATGATGTCAAGGTTGTGAGATCAAAACCTGCATTGGGCTCCATGATGACAGCATGGAGCATGCAAGCATGGAGGCTGCTTGGGATTCTCTCTCTCTGCTCTCCCATTCTCAAAATAAATAAATTAATTTAAAAAAATTTTATTGAAAACTACATAATACAATAGCACATTTGGGTTCAAATACCTAATTATGCTAGCAAGTGTCATGGGATTTAAAACTAGTTAACTCAAGCGAACAATTCTCCCCAAAGAAATCCACAGAAAACTACCTAAAATATTAAAAGAATACTGTAGTTTGCTATAGAGAACATGAAGATAACGGAGCTCCCGCTGTTAATAAATACATGTAATTAAATGTACCAAATGGGGGAACGGAAATTCTCAACATATTACGCACACAGCAAAAAGAGTTTAGTGTCTATTTTTGCTTGTTTGGATCTAAGATCTCTGGTCAGCATCGTCCCAGTCTCCAGAGGAGGACATGAAGGCACATACTCACCTATTCCGATGGCTTTCATTTCACGAAAGGTCTGTAAGGCCGGCAATCTTCCAAATGAATAAAATCTTCGGAGGCATTTCAGAATGGTATTAAATGTCTGTAGATTTGGTTTCACCTTCTGGGCAGCCATTTCTTTCAGCAGCTCCTAGATAAATCCAAGTGTTAAGTCTTGTTTATGCCTGGGTAGGTAATTTGTCCAATAAACCAATATTACACACTAAAAAATAATTTGATTCTCTGGCTAGATCTAAAGTAATTTAATAAATATATTCCTAATTTAAGAATTATCTATTAGTTAGCAGGGCCAGTGACTTTGCCTTTTAGAGAACTCACTCTATTCAGTCACCGCACCTCGCTTGATCAAGGTGTCCAACTGTCTTCGCCCCCTGCCTCATAAAGCAAAAGCGTAGACTAGAATGAACCGGGCTGTTTTCCTTTTTTAAATGAACAGTACGGTATAAAAACAAAAATATTTTTATCCCTAATACAACCCAAGTAAGTTTTTTCAAACCTACCAGATACAAATGTTTCAGGAAATATGCATTGTTTGTAATAAAAAACACTACATACTATGAGAAATAAAGCAACAGAGGTGTTTGTGAATTCTAGCCATCGACTCTGCGTCTAATATCTTTTTCTTCTCACATATAAGACACAGTTATTTAAACTACAGGGTTGCTAGGAGGGCATAAACAAGTAACCGCTGAGTACCCAGCAGAGCAGTATCTGCCATGAAAATGCTCAATCTCTACCCCCTGTATTTCTAGGAAAGGATACTTTAGGCGTATTAGGAGACAAAATGACGGTTTCCCCTTACCAGTATCTTATTCCATTTGTCCTCCAATTTCTCATTCATGCTCAATGCTGTTGCCTCAATCAATGCATTGAAGGTGTACACATCAGCTGTAAAACAGGAAAACCACCTTAACAAAATTTGGGTTCAAGACTTATCCCTAAATAGCTTAGTTTAAGGCAAAGCAGTAATGCACATATGGCTCCTGGCTTGTTACCATGTGCTCACAAAACGAGACACTCTCTCCCTTCTCTGGAACTCTCCTCCTGCTTTTACCACCAATACCACAAGGTTAAAAGTGAGCCCATGATTGAGGCAAGATGCAAAAATTTCATGGATTCAAAGATCTACAGACTCCTAAGGGAAGAAAAGGAAGGAGGGAGGGAAATTCTCCAAACACACTTACCATGGAGTCTGTTGTTTAGTAATTCAGTGTACAAGTTTAATGCCTGCACAAGAGCTCGGTGCTGGAAGACAGTAAGGATAAAACTTAAATATCATCCAACTTGTTTACTTAAGAAACAGTTGCAATGTCTACTGTTTTAGGGCTTGGGATACAGTAATAAACAAAACAAACAAAGTTCTCATGAAGTTCATACTCTACTGCCTGGCAATTTTGCTTCCCAGGTGACATTTGGTAATTCTTGGAGATACTTCTAGTTATCACAACTGGGGGCTGGGGAGGATGCAGTACTGACATGCACTGGGTAGAGAACAGGGAAGTATTAAACATTCTACAATGCACAGGAGAGCCCCCAAGACAACAAATTTTCTGGCCCAGTGAACAATAGCTCTGAGAGTAAAAATTCCTGACTCAGTGGAAATTAAAGACAATAGTACAGAAATAAATACATGTTACCTTCACCATTCCTCGGATCACTGTGCAGTAGGAATGTGAGTTTTTCTCTGGCATTAGAGCAAAGATTCTCTCAGCATTGTTTTTTGCCCTAGACACAGGAAGAATAGTCAACCAGGGAAACTGGAAAAACCAACAGCTACCACAATTTACTGAGTTTACAATGTTCCAAGCACTGTGCCAAGCACTTTATACACATAAAATTCTTACCACCACGTGCATGAAAGACATGGTTATCATTCTGAAAAATGGGAAAAACTGAGGCTCCAAAACCTCAAGTTGTCCACGGCTTGGCAGGTTAAGTGACAGAACCAGAACTTTTACAAAAAAGTAATATATACTCACAACACTAAACAAAAAAGCCAATTGTGCAAAGAGTACACAGTGAAGTTTCCCCACACTCCTTCAACCATATACAATTCCCCAGGGGCAACCACAGGCAAGTAGTTTCTCCAGAATCTATTGTATTCTAGCATGTGTACATGTCACACTCTGGCGTATCTACTCTCCTTCTTCCTTTAAAAAAACAAATAGGGGCTCCTGGGTGGCTCAGTCGGTTAAGCGTCCGACTTCGGCTCAGGTCATGATCTCACAGTCCGTGGGTTCGAGCCCTGCGTCAGGCTCTGTGCTGACAGCTCAGAGCCTGGAGCCTGTTTCAGATTCTGTGTCTCCCTTTCTCTCTGACCCTCCCCCGTTCATGCTCTGTCTCTGTCTTAAAAATAAATAAACGTTAAAAAAAAATTTTTTTTTAAACAAATAAATGAATAAAGATAATCCATGTTATACAGACTATGCTGTACCTTGATTCTGTCTCTTACAAATAGGTCCTGGAAATCAGAACCAGGATTTGGGCCAGGATGATATACCAAGGTCCATGCTCTTAACTACTACGGAAAATTATTAAAATACCGGATTCTATTTAACACTTCCAAAAAGACTTTTGATATTAATAGTAACTTTCCTCCTCCAGATGTCCCTGTGAAATACTTTTCTTTTACTCAAACATTCCTACTCACTTAAATTTCTCAAATGTTAAATGTTACTCACCTTTTGTTTGGAAATGTTGAGTATTTCTGCTTGCTGACCAGCAATCTTCATTTAGAACTACACTGTTGTGTTATGTGTATTCTTATGTAAACAAATTATCCAATCTTTCAGAGTGACAGGTATATATTGCACAGAAGGACACTGATGAAACTACCCAAGGAACCAATACCATGTAAAGGGGACATGAAGTTAAATGGGTGGGGTGGAGGATGAAGTGTCAACCTCATACTGCTGGTTAGAAGTAAAGATCTTATGAAATGAGGTCTAAACACATAGGAGTACCAATTGTGATATTTATATTGTATGCTAAAAACAAATACCTTAGAAAACCACAGGAGCGTATCTTGAGGGGATGACAGGAAACATTCCATGCACAAATGGAAACCCCACTACAAGGTTTAACGATGGGTAACATACCTCCACGTAACTCCAAATTGATGGCCAGCCTTCTTAGATTTTTCATTATTTTCCTCTATGGCCTCTTCCTGAAATGAACCATCATCAACAGAAATAAAACAAAATATGACAGCAGAATGCATTCTCCTAGCCTAGAATACTTAAAAACAGAAAGGCGAAGGAAACTTTAGAAAAATAAAAGAAATACAGATCCAACAGAAGGTGAAGGAAAACTCCACTAAATGTTCATTTAAAAAACTGATAATTCCTAAAGCATAAATCAGTTCACTTAGAGATGCAAAGTAAAGCTGGCCCTTAAAGCAAGAAATGACAGCCTGGAGAAGAGATAAAGTCATTACCCTGTACAGCCTAGCCCAGAGAGAGAAACTGGAAAGCCAAACAACAGAGCCTGGCTTGATCTGGCTGTATCTGGCTTGGCCCACATAGAAATATTGTTCATTAGGTAAAAGCAAGAAAGGACATGTCCCTGGGGCGCCTGGGTGGCGCAGTCGGTTAAGTGTCCGACTTCAACCAGGTCACGATCTCACGGTCCGTGAGTTCGAGCCCCGCGTCGGGCTCTGGGCTGATGGCTCAGAGCCTGGAGCCTGTTTCCGATTCTGTGTCTCCCTCTCTCTCTGCCCCTCATCCGTTCATGCTCTGTCTCTCTCTGTCCCAAAAATAAATAAACGTTGAAAAAAAAAATTTAAAAAAAAAAAGAAAGGACATGTCCGGGTATGGGATCTAATGTCTAACACTAATTCAACGCACAATACCACAGTTCAGTCACATGCTATTGGACATCCAGCCTGTGTTCCACATTTTTGCAATTTTAAGTATGAATACATTATAAAAATGAGGTATATAATCTCTGTGCACAGGAGCCAGGGGTGCCCTTGGGATCTTTTTCCAGAAGTAAAACTCTTGGGTTGAGAAGTCAGATAGGACTATCAACAGGCCAGCCCTTGGCACAATCCTGTTCTATATACCCCCAGCATATACGCTCACTATATGCCCACATATGTTTGCATTTTTGAGGGGACTGGGATCAGGGGGTCTTTCCCTGTTCCTTACACATCATGTGGTCACTGTACGTAACAGTAAAAGAGGGGCTTCCTAAACATTTCTGGTCAAAGCTTTAGCTGCATGCGGAAGGCAAGGTCAAAATATTTTTAAGAGAACCGAAATTAAAATAATTGTTTAAATATTTCTTCCTCCATACCACTTTTTATCAAAGCTAGTATACCACATCACATCTCAGAACAAATCTCTACTATCCTAACACATAAGGCATAAGAACTTGCCTCACTTTGACATGAAATTACTACCAAAAGAAATTTTAAGAATCACTGCCAAAAGCCATTACCAATTCTTCTGATTTTTCACTTTGATGAAAATGATTATCAGCTGAAGGCTCTTGGTCACCATAATAACACAACAAATCCAAGAGACTATTACTTGTTTCCAGAGATACAGCAGTTCCTGTGGGTAGAAGAAAAAGGGGGAAAAAAACTTTAAAACATCAAAGAACTAAAGCTCACTGGATTAAAATTCTTCACTTTCTATAACCTGTGACTTTCTTGCCTATGTATATAGTGGCAACCACCATCCTAAGAATGCATGAGTATGCACTCCACATCAACTCAAACACCTGGAGTGATGCAGACAGGGACACCATCCCTACTGTGTGATCTGACATGAGAGACTAAAACACAAGACAAAGCCTGACCTTTGTGTGTGCTCACTTATTTTACATACTCGTCTCTCCAGAGAAACTAGCTCATGGTTTTAACTACGGTCTCCAAACTGAACACTCTGCAAATTACTGCCACTTAGTTCCCCTGGTTCAGTTCCATTTTTACAAATGCAAGCAAAACTATTCCGCTTGGATCCAGGCCCTCACTGGAATACCTGCCTAGAAATACTAGCCTAAATGTTCAATAATAGCTTTTAAAAAAACTCAAAAACATGCTTTCATCTTGACACTAAGAAAAAAAGGGAAAAAGTATGAAATAGAGTATTTTAAAAGTACCCTCATTTTCCTAAAGAAAATACACTGATATAAAAATGCCCATTAGGAATTTAAAAGTGTAGAAAATAGCAGAGTGGAGAGAACCGAGGCTATGAAGGGTAAATGGATTGGATTTTACTATCTCAGAACTGTATATCCCTGAAAAATTACCTAATAATGTTTCCTTTATAGAATTATTATAAAACACAGCAACTCCTAAGATGTTATAGAATTAAATTAAGCATGTGAAATGCCCAGCAAAGTGTTTGGTACTTATTAGGGGCTTGATAGTAAAACTTCATCTAATCCATCACATGGCATATTGGCTTGTTCTGTTACTCTAAGCTGTGGGTCTGACACACTGTCTTTACTGAATGTCTGCATGTGCCCATTCCACAGTGTATAAAACTAGAGGAAAACAGGCCTGGGCACCAAGAACTTCACTTACCAGACATTTATCATATTCAACAAGCAGAAGGAAAAGGCTCCCTAAATTATAACATGCATCAGCAATTCATCCGTACATCCAATGCCACAGCAGGCTACACACCAGAACTCTCAAACACAGCTTTCTGCAAATGTTTCTTGTTGTGTTCAAGAATGTACTGAACAATTCAACTCAGTTTCGATCTCTTCTATGTCTGGTTGGTTTTTATCCTCAATCACTGAACAACATCCTGAAGCCCATAAACTTACAATGCTGCTGCCTTTGATGTTATTATAGGTACATTCTCCTGGTAGTTTACAAGTCATGCATTCTGGATCTATACCACCAGAGGTTCATCCAGATCAAATTCAGAGAGCCAAAATTTTAGAGACAGAAGTTCTGAGGAACTAAGTGACTTTTCCAAAGCCACAGGGCTAATTAGTGTCAGAGCTAGAATCAATATCCCAATTTAGCGCTTCCTTTTTAAATATTCCTTGTCTGTTTTATGCCTCCATACATACTTAAAGAGTACAAGAAACCTGAATATGTACATGCCAGAAGTTAAAAACAGAAGCCAAGGAAGAATGGCTATACAATTTCCCTACTTGCCAACACAATATAGCCGAAGAGCACAATAAACTAAGTTACAGCTCCATCTCACTTATAATTCAAAAAATAAAGCTAAAGCAGGACTGGAAATATCATTAAACTCTTAAAAACATAAACATTATCAGAGATACTTGTAACTTGTACTCAAAACCAGCACGATCACATAAACCACAGCCCACTTTCAAGCCCATGTTCCTAGAGGTGTTTTAAATGAACTGAGTCACCTGCTTGTAATAGCTGATCAAACATGTCCACCGAAGCTCTGACTTTTTTGAGCTTGATTCTTTCCTTTAAGGCAGCTTCACTTATACCTTCAATCTGAGGTTCAAAGTACTCAGGCATTAAACACTAGGAAAAGAAGATGGCTAATGTTACCACAAACAGCTAAAGGGGAAAGAACTTAGCAGGACTGAACTTTTATCACCAAAACACCAAAATAAAACTTCACCATCCCAATTCATGTTTCATGGACCAGGTACACGTGTACACCTCGTAGGGAATATAACTGAATATATATAGGGAATATAGGGAATTATATAACTGGGAATATAACTGAAAAAAAGTATCAAAGCCCTCCAATACATAAAACAAGATCATTTAGCTATCTCCCAGCTCAGGGAGAATTTTTAAAAGCACCCCAAAATAAATATTTAATCCATATCTGAAGAATCCTGTTTCCAACTTCCCCAACTTCAAGTTGAACCTCTGTCCTCTACTAAAATCACCCTTTCTTCTTACTTCCCGACCTTGTTTAAAAGTGTCAGAGTACTGAGGTGCCTGGGTCGCTCAGTCAGTTGAGTGCCCAACTCTGATTTTGGTTCAGGTCATGATCTCAGGGTCATGGGATCGAGCCCCGTGTTGGACTCCATGCTGAGCAACAGGTCTGCTTAAGATTCTCTTTCCCCCTCTCCCCCACTCGCGGTCTCTCTCTAAAAAAGTAAGTGTCACAGTACACCTGGTTTGCAGAGGCAGAAATCTTTCATCCCTGATGCTTCTTCTACTCTATAAACATTCACTATCACCAAAGTATGTTGGTTGTACCTCACTCACTAGTTTATTTTAATACTTCTTGAATGCTGATGATTTCATGCCAGGCATGAAGCTAGGCATTGGAGACACAGAGATGAAAGTAATTCTCTGCCTTTAAGGTTCTCCCAATCTAGTGAAGAAAGAAATAATTACAGTGCAATGTGATGGTAAATGATGGGAGATCTCAGAGGTATGAGAGTGCTGCCTGCCAGGGAGGCAGGGACCCATGGAAGGCTTCAAGTCAAAGTGAGCTAATAAGCACAGAAACTTTAACTGCTAGTTAAACACACAGGGGAAAGGTTGGGCCAGGATTTCAGCATTTTTACCTATACAATCGCAATGACCTCCTAATATGTCACTAGGAGTTGCTGCTGGAGAAGCAGGAGGGTTGTGTGTGGGTGCATGTGTTTAGGGAAGAAAGCTGTTTGGGACAGGAGTCTGAGGTTACTATTTCCACTAATAAACCCAGGAGGGCAGAGGCACATCTGCTCCCCCCACCACTGTGACAACAGCACACAACACACCCTCCACAATGCTCACTCTTTAGGACTACAGAACAAAGAGATAGTTGGAAATACAATTTGGAGTTCAAAGAAAAAGGCAGAAGGTTTACTCTGAAGAGGAACCAGGACACTACAGTATCAAAGTGGAGGGATCTGGGCCAGATATACAAGAATGGGATGTAAGGGCCACTGAAGCAGGAAGACTGCAGACAGGAATAAGAAAATGGCTGAGCATGGAAACCGAAGACGATGTCAGCGCTTAAGGCAGGTGGGGGGGGGGGGGGGGGCTTAGAATATCTACTGAAGGAAACTGAAAAGGAACAGTCACAGAGATAAAGATCTAAGATTCTGGTGTCACAGTAGCCAAACAGGGAAAACAGGATGGGGAACAAACACATACAGGAGCTTAAAAAAAAAAAAAAAAAAAAAAAAAGATTATTGTGAGCAAAGATAACTGTACTCATCACAGGGGCACCTGGGTGTCTCAGTCTGTTGAGAGAGTCCAACTTGAGCCAGTTCGGGTCACAACCTCACCGTTTGTGAGTTCAAACCCCCTGTCAGGCTCTGCACTAACAATGTCAAGCCTGCTTAGGATTCTTTACTTCTCTCTCTGCCTCTCCCCTGCCTCTCTCTCTTTCAAAATACATAAAAACATAATTAACTAACTAAATACTTCACCTGAATACTGAGGACATTCAAATGGCTACTCAAAAGCAGCTATGAAAACTTGGTTTAACTTGTATCTACATAGTATTAACTGAAAAATCACAATTACCTCTCCTTACCGGTATGTGAGGTTCAGCTGTGTCCTTCTGAAAATATTTGGGATATGAATTAATAATAAACTTTGCTGCATTCTCTCCAGATTTCTTTGCCAATAAAAATGAACGCTATAAAAAAAAAAAAAAAAAAAAAAAAGAATCAGCTAGAAATTGGCATTTACATGTAACTTAGACTCAAGATCAAAATTACACCCTCAGGAAGAATTATCTACCCCCTCAAAAAAGAATGCAACAATACAAAGAAACCCAAATACAAGTTAAATCACGTACTATTTCTCTGCTACTGAGTGTGACATTTTAGGTCACATCTTATATACAGCTTGCGGAACATAAAACCAGTGCACTGAAACCAAGTGGACTGTTCCAATGCAAAAGAGCCCTGATTATTAAAACCCAAAACCTTTCCACAGCCCATTTCTAAAACTTTTTTAAAAAGTAGTAAGGGATTCAGAAAGTCTACTGAATTACCTACCAGCATCTGTTAACTTTTCAAAAATTTTTACAAATAAGGTAAATTACATACGCGTGCTTCAACCCAAACAAGCAAGATAAAACATAATGCTAGAAAAGCTACATGGAATTACTCACAGATTCCACGGAGGACGTTGGTATGAGATAAGGATCATCCTGAAATGCATAAGGGGCAGCTGTGGAATCCTGTGAAGACACAGAAGTCTCTTTAGCTAGATTTTCATAAAGATCTGGAGGTTTGATGACCACAAACTCTGTAAAAAACAAGTTTTAATTATATATATAACATGCAGAAGTTTACCTGAGTGTATACAGTGAGAGAAACACTAACACCTATACTGCACTCTCAGCTCTCTAAGACTCAGTTATAATTACATACAACTTGAAGCAAACAATGGCTCAGCCCCCCAGCCCCCCATGACCCCTTAAGATCTGAGGGTGGTCCCAGGAACTACTGCTGTTGTAAACTACAGGTCCTCTGAATTAACTAGCCCGGGCACCAGAGTCAGGCACCAGTTTCCTTCCAAGCACGGCCACTGCCCATCACAGAGTCTGCCCTCCACACAGAAGACGCCTCCACGCCCTCTTGGAAGGTGCAGCTTCTGTGCGCTGCCGTCCAAGCTCTGTACGCTTCTTTAAACTGCTCTAGGTAGAACCTGGAGCAAAATAATCTCTTCAGTACCACTCACTGAAAACTGCCCCCAAAGTACTTTCTCTATTCTCTCTTCTCCCCTGCAGTCTCCTTTCCTGGGCCTTCTGGGACCTCTGTTCCACAGGAAAACCCTATATCCAGAATCTCTCCTCACGGTGCCCTTGAGGTACTGTCTTACTGACTTGGCCTCTCCAAGGGTGACCCTCCCTGCAGCTCTCAGGGCAAGGCTGCTCACAGCTAGGGCACGGAGGCTATATCTTTTTGGCGTCTCAGCTTCCCTGCCCCTTTCAAAACCCATATCACTTCATACTCATTAGAGGCTCATTTCATCTGGTTACACCACTCTACTAACATGAGGCAGTCACGTGAGGGTAAACCAGCGGTAGCAGTTCCAGGTTAGCTGCCCTGGACTACGTACGTACTCCCTGATTATACTCAAACTGGTGCCTAGCTCTGGTTCTGATCCTCCACACCACCCTTCTTAGATTCCTATTTAGGGCCTCTAGTTTTGGTGACACGCTCTAGTTGTTCTAACTTTTACTAGACTTATCCTTCCTATTTACTTCCCAATCTTCCTCCCTCAACAATTTCTAAGTCCTTCACAATCCGTGAAAAACAACTCCACTCTGGCCTTGTAGTTCAGATGACTGGAACCAAATTTAACCCCACACTGCACTTGCCTGAAGCTACACCCTCCTGTCACCTCTATCTCAGTGAACAGTACTGACCATGCTTAAGTTCAACCTGTAGATCCTGTCCCATTACTTCCATTCAACTAACCTATCATCAGATCCAACCAACGCTAGTTCTTTAACATCCCCTTACCTGTCCCTTTATCAACATCCCCTTATCATCCCCTTTAACTGTCCCTTATCCCAACTGTTATGGCCACAGTTCAGTGCTCTCACTCTCTCCCTGTCTAGGAGCTGTGCGAGGAAAGGGTCTCTATTCTTCACCCGGCACAGCACCTGGTCAGCATCACAAGGGTAGAACAGGTGGTTACTGAATGAATACCCTGGACTTCAAGGGCCCAAATGCAGACAAATCAGAAAGCTGCACACATAATTCTACAACTTCTTTGACTTGAAGGCCATTTTCATTAAAAAACTGAGAACAGTTGGGAATGCAAGCTGGTGCAGCCACTCTGGAGAACAGTATGGAGGTTCCTCAAAAAATTAAAACTAGAACTACCCTACAACCCAGCAATTGCACTGCTAGGTATTTACCCAAAGGATACAGGTGTGCTGTTTTGAAGGGGCACATGCACCCCAATGTTTATAGCAGCGCTATTGACAATAACCAAAGTATGGAAAGAGCCCAAATGTCCACCGAGGGATGAATCAATAAAGAAGATGTGGTACACATATACAATGGAGTATTACTCGGCAATCAAAAAGAATGAAATCTTGCCATTTGCAACTACGTGGATAGAACGGGAGGATATTATGCTAAGTGAAATTAGTCAGAGAAAGACAAAAATCATGACTTCACTCATATGAGGACTTTAAGAGACAAAACAGATGAACATAAGGGAAGGGAAACAAAAGTAATATAAAAACAGGGAAGGGGACAAAACAGAAGAGACTCATAGATATGGAGAACAAACTGAGGGTTGCTGGAGAGGTTGTGGGAAGGGGGATGGGCTAAATGGGTAAGGGGCACTAAGGAATCTATTCCTGAAATCATTGTTCCACTATATGCTAACTAGTTTGGATGTAAATTTAAAAAATTAAAAAATTAAATAAAAAACAAAAGAAAAAAAATACACATAATTACAAAAAAAAAAACAAAATTGAGAACAGTCTCAAAGGACCATTTCTCTAGTTCACATTTCAAGTGCCTACTTAGGGATAAATGATGCTAGTATGGAGATACAGTAGTATTTTAAAAATTTTTTAATGTTTATTTTTGAGAGAGAGACACAGAGCACAAGCGAGGGAAGGGAAGAGAGAGAGAGGTAGACACAGAATCTGAAACAGGCTCCAGGCTCTGAGCTATTAGCACACAGCCCAATGGGAGCTTAAACTCATGAACTTTGAGATCATGACCTGAGCTGAAGTTGGATGCTTAACCAACTGAGCCACTCAGACACCCCTGGAGATGCAGTATTTTAAGAATCCCTTCTGAGAAACTGCTAGGATATATTAGTGCATATTTAGCCCAATACTCCTTAAGTTTAACATCTACAATGGAAAACAATCCCGGAAGTCTGTGATAACGGCCTTAAAGAGGATCAGTATCCTCACAGGTATCGTGGTAGCTAATTAATTATTTCAGACACTGTCCCCATAGTTGAAATTAAAAGTATAGTTTCCTGCTAATGAAAAATACAATCAGAAAGTTTCTCAGGGTTGGCAAATTGAGTCCCAAGTTGGGTACACAGATTATGTTCTGAGGCATTTACCAAGGTTTCAGTTTATCTATCAGACTACAAACTCTATTCTTGAATTGTCAAGAGAAAGTTATTGAAAAATATTTCACTAATAACAGCTAGCATTTACTGAGTACTCCTTTGTGCTAGGCACTGTCCTAAATCCTGTCACATGTACTAGCTTATTTCTCACTAAAACCTTGAGGTTTGATGCTATCATTAATCCCCATTTTATAGATATGCATGTGGAAACATCAAGAGATAAAGTAACTTTTTAGTGCAGATCACAAAGCTAACCGCTCAGCTCTGAAACTCCAGGATGCACACGGTCAATCCCTGCGTTATTTCTAGCATAGTAGATACACTACTGCTCAAAACTGGTCGCCAGATCACTTGCGTTACAGTATCCCACCCAAACCATCCCCCAGGACCATGCATTATAGCAAACTCTTCAGGGGATTCAGTTTAAACATTATTGGTCTAAGATAAAAACACGGAATTTGGAGATAAAAGACATGGAACTAGGTCAAGTACTTAACTTCCTAACCAATGTGTAGCCAGTCCCTTTAAGACCTTTAGTTTTGGGGTGACTAGGTGGCTCAGTCAGTTAAGTGTCCAATTCTTAATCTCAGCTCAGGTCATATCTCATGGTTCACGGGATTTAGCCCCTCATCAGGCTCTACACTGACAGCATGGAGTCTGCTTGGGATTCCCTCTCCTTCTTTCTCTGCCTCTCCCACACACGTGCTCTCTCTAAATAAACTTAAAAACACACACAAAAAAACCAAAACGAAACCATCCCAAACCTTTAGTTTCCACACCTGTCACATGAAGGGAGTGGATTAGATTATTTCCAATAAACTTTCAAGATTCACAACAGTTTAATCATAAATAATGAAGAGGTATGAATACTAAATGTATAATTAACTGAGTTGGGTACAAAAACCTAAAACTCCTACTTACCCTATTCACTGTGGATGCAAGTGCTTGAAGAACAGCCACTTTATCCCTAAGAACAAGAATCACAAGTTAACCCATGTCAGGATTTTCACACCTACAAAGTGAACAAGTGATTCAATTCTCAGAATGGATTGGCCAGTAAAAAAAGTTCAGATCTCAACTAAAGCCAGTTCTTATTTCTTAAGATCACTAGAATAACAAGTTAGAAAATGAGAAAACTGGAGCGCCTGGGTGGCTCAGTCGGTTAAGTGTCAGACTTCGGCTCAGGTCATGATCTCACGGTTCATGAGTTCAAGCCCCAGGTAGGGCTCCGTGCTGACAGCTCAGAGCCTGGAGCCTGCTTCACATTCTGTGTCTGCCTCTCTCTCTGCCCACTCGCAGTCCGTCTCTCTCTCAAAATAAATAAACATGGAAAAAAAAAAGAAAACTGCCTAGTTCTTTTGTCTAAAGGTGATTAGTACATGTTCCTACTGTACTTTGCCTACCCTCTCTGGCATGGTCCCCCCTACCATCACCAAGGGCTAGCAATCTCCACCCTCATCTCAAAAAATTTTCTATATCTATCGTGAACCTTGCCTCCTATCCATTTTCTTTCTTTCTTTTTTTTTGGATTTTATTTTTAAGTTATCTCTACACCCAATGTGTGGCTCAAAATTATATCTATCCTGAACCGTGCCTCCTGCTATCCGTTCTCCTATGTATGTGTGTGTGTCTGTGTGTGTTTTTAAAGATTTTAAAGTAATCTCTACACCCAATGTGGGGCTCAAACTCACAATCCCAAGATAGGGTCAAATGCTCTACTGACCGAGTGAGCCAGGAGCCCCATTTTCCTATGCATTCTTATTGCAGTTTTCTGGGCTACTCTTGCCTCTTTTATCTCAATTGGTGGCTCTTAACTCAAGTATATGTGAGAATAAATCACAAACTATACTCTGGACTTCCTAAACCAAATTCTCCAAGTTCCATGGAGAACTGTCACATGCAGTCTTGCTGAATTCCCAGATGTTTCTGATGTACTCTTCTGATTTAGAAACTCTCAACTATACAGCCTTTATAAAAATTTCAGGCTAGTTGTCTGCTGTTCTATGGGTAGAGACCCTAACTACTGGAAGAGATTTCAGTGGAATAGACAAACCTAGATAATTTAATTTCAAATTTATTTTTACTCCTGTTACATTTTATATGTTTTATTTCCAAAAAGGAAGAGTAAATTTAGTAAACCAAAAGTTACCTTTCAAAACAAAGTTTAACCTAACATTCATTACAAGTTAGCTATAAAACAACATACAGGAAATTTTATATTACATCAAGACTGAATAATTCCTTGACATATATGATATCACTGGGGTTCTATCCATTTTTTAACATCACATTTATGTAATCTCATGGAGACAAAGACATTCTCTCATGTCTTAGCATTCTCTAACTAAAGCTTTCATTAGACTATATGGCTTACCAAGTGAATACATCGTCATAGCATACTGAACAAGTCAAAAAAAAAAAAAAAAAAAAAAAAAAAAAAAAAAAAGCTAAATTCTGCAGTCCACACTATTTTATTTTCCTTCCTTAAAGACCGCAAGAGTAATACTTCTGTCCAGTCTCCCAAACATGTAAAACTTTCGTAAAAGAGAAAAAAAAAAAAGGAAAGAAATTATTCTAATAATGATGCTCATAATTAACTATTATGTAACTATTAACCCAACTTAGTTCAGGTCTTTTAACCCTATTTAAATTTTACGCCCCATTCATTCACTACCCTCCACCTTCCTCTTTAAGTTCTTTCCAACTCCCAAGTTTTCCTCCCATCAGCTGTTCTGTCCCCCAAAATGCTCTCTCTACTCTCTGTCATTGGCTCCTTACCTTCAAATGTTTTGCACTCAACTCCTTGCTGAATGAACACTGACTGAATACTCACCAAGTTTTCTTTTTTGGAATGACCACTTCTTCGATCCCTTAATTTGAAAAATAAAACAAATCAATTTCCCAATACTACTACTACTACTACTACTACAAATTAGTACAATAATTTAACATAGAAATGAAATTATTTCAATATATTTTTGTATACCTGTTACATTAGCTCCTTCAATCTTTGGGAGGGTTGCACTTCCAGAATAAAATCTACAAAAAATAAAAGCCCTGTAACTGGTACTCATTAATGAAGTTCCCACCTCCTTCCACCAATGTGCATTTTGAACCCAAATTTTCCAATTGTCATGGGTCCAAATGACTGCATAATTCATGTCAATGCACACTGAGAAGATATGGCCTGAAGAACATGTTCAAAACCATTACAAAATAGACATATGGACGCAATAATGGTCAACATTTTTAAATCAGGCAATCTTATTAAATAGAATCAGGAAAAAAAAAAATCTCAGTAACACCTGAACTGAAGCAGCAAATGTGAAATATAAGGGACTTTTTAAAAAAACATTTATTTTATTTTGAGAGAAAGAGCGAGCAAGAGCACATGCTCAAGCTGGGGAGAGGCAGAGAGAGAATCCCAGGGAGTCTCTGTGCTAATAGCAGAGTCTGATGTGGGGCTGGATGCCACGAACTGTGAGATCATGACCTGAGCCAAACTCAAGGGTTGAACGCTTAACCAACTTAGCCACCCAGGCGCCCCTGAAATATAAGGGACTTTCAACTTTGGGAATCTGAAACACTGAGGTTAAGAGGAACAATTTAACGAGTCCCTGATTTTATACGAATAACACCGAATAAGACTATCCCACCTGAAGCAATTATGATAAATTATTAAACTAAGATCACCATGGCCTTTCATCCTACTTCATCCAACAATCAAGAATTGGTCATATTTGGCAAATACATATTTGCCAAATATGTATGTCCTAAATTAAACTTGAAACTGCTATTATTTTTTACACAAAATTTAGAATTACTGACCCATGAGTATTAAAATGTTCTGATCACACTAAGAAATAGTCAAATATCACACAGTAATGGGCACTGTTATTGTGTATTCCCTTCCTACATGGGATTGGTACCATTCACAAAATTGCCAAAATGTGATTAAACACAAAGCTACTTCCTCTACTGGAATCTGGTCTCAGGTATCATTCGAAAACAATACTTCTCTGCTGGGGATCAACTTCAGAGGGATAAACTCTCAGAGAGAGTTGGCTATTGCTTTTTCATGAAATTAGGATCTAAGACCACTGTTGTGTTGTGGGTGAATAAAGAGGGAGAGATGCTGCTGTCAGACAAAGGAAATGAGGAGAAAAATGTCAACAGTGGCACTATGAAGAAAAGGACTGCGATTGAATACGAAGGCTTCCACAGTATCAGGTGGGGCGTTTTCTCTTTTTTGAGCAGAGTTGAGTGAAGGTATCGCATATAAAACGTACACTATAGATTACACATCTCACTTACCTCTCACCGTTTTTCAGTTATTACGAGGTCCACTCTACAAAAAACTTGTCTATTATCCCACTCAAGAAATGGCAAACACGGAATCCAAAATTGGGCTTTTCCCAACTTTCCATTACAAGTTACTCTATTTCCACTACACCACTACTTGTATTTAGTGAAAAGTATTAAATACGTATTCCAAGGTATAACAATCACAGCAACCCAAAGGCTGTACTCAAATCTTTTAGATTTCCCTGCGTTTTTGAAGACCTGGATAATTTCTTAGGCCAATCATCCCCATAACATCCAGCACACAGTGGCCCTCATAAACTGCTTTAATTTGGGAAAAATCTTCAGAGTTCCCCTATTTGGTGAAAATAAAGGACGCATAATTTCCTATTTTTAAAACTTGGGAGGGGTTGCTATAGCACATTCAAACGTAAGCTCCACGACAACAGGGTAAGCCTACCAACCAAGAAGTAACATCATACCAAAGTAGTCTGGGGCCCTTTTCTAGGACTCCAAGCTACCCGCCCCTGGTTAAGCACATGGCCGCGAAACCGCGCATGCCCAACCCACTCCATCGTCCCTACCTCCACAGCTCTTAGGGAAAAGCTGATACACAGGACGAGTTTGGCCCGGGCGAGGGCCGGGGGGGGGGCGGGGGGCGGTCTTTCTCTTGGGTTTCCCAAGCGTCTCTTACCTGCTGGGGGCCTTTCCACACAGACCCGTCCACTGGCCCGTCAGCATCAGGCAAAGCCTGCAGCGGACACCGACACAGCGACCCGACGCTACCGCCGCCATCTTTAGTTTTTTTCGCGTAGCATTCTGGGAAAGTGTGACCTTCAGGATCACCCCCAAGGCGGGGGCGGGGAATAGCTCGGCTATTGGCTGAGACGGAACAAGACAAAATCAATCAAGAAATAGGTTAAAAGCTCGTGGTTTGAAAGACTTTGTTACGGAAGTTAAAAGATCAAAATGCCTCGCTTTCCTCGGAGAAACTTTCCAAAACGATTATTTTAGTGACCTATTTCTTCGCTATTTTCAAAATAAGAGGGTGAGTAAATGAGCGAAAGTCGTCAAATTACTTCCCCCCCTACCGTGAAAGTGGTCTCGTCCACGTAAATCTCATTCCAGCGAGCTTTTCTCGCGCGTAAGCGGAATGTAAATCACATGGTGGCTGCGGGCTTTAGGCTGAGTTAAGTTGCCCGTGGTCATTAGAATCTCTCTCTGGGTGTCAGAACTCGCAGCTTACGTGAAGGATGTTGGGCTCGAAGACCATGCCCTGGCGGAGGCTGCAGGGCATTTCCTTCGGGATGTATTCGGCCGACGAGCTCAAGTAAGGAGATGGTGGGGAGGAAGCATGCAGAGCCTGCTTGTTGAGGTTGGCGCCATGAACTACTGTTCCCAAAAGGTCTTGCGCCCAGTTTATCCTCCGAGTCAGTGGTTGTGTGGCGCTTGGCCTTTTGGGACCCGTAGTTCCGGGAACGTCGTGGATTGGCGTGGACTGCCTAGAA